CTTGTAGTTTCATTGCTGGTAAATGGTCAATTGTATTAATAATCAGTCTAACTTCGGGATCTATGTTACATATACCTCTGTTGAAGTGTAATATTTTTATCTATCAGTAATTTGACACATGAAATTGATTGCGTTCATTTTTCTCTTGATGTTTGTGTCTTTCAGGATCATCATTCAGGGAGGGTGATTGGAACTGCTAAGAGGGTAGTCAGGCTCTACTTCCAAGAGAAAGGCATGGAGAACGAGGACATGTCTTCCAATATTTGCAGTTTTTCTAGATTCAGTGAATGTTCTATTATGATATATTGTCATTTGGGTCATCCTAAATTTCAATATTTAATACAATTGTATCTGTCGATGTTTATTAATAAAAATCTTGCTAGCTTCAAATATGAGATTTATCAGTTAGCTAAAAAACATCGTGTTCTATATCCACCCCACTTCTACATGCCTTTCGCTTCCTTTTCACTTATTCATAGTGACTTGTGGGGACCCTCTCACCCACTCAACTACACTAATAAACTGTAATTCCTCACCTTTATTGATGACCATGCTCGAATGGCGTGAGTCTATATCGTAAAAGATAAATCTGAAGCTGTTGTCACCTTAAAAAATTTTCACTCCATCATGACACAATTCAAAACGTCAACTTAAGTCTTTCGAACTGACATTGATCATGAATTTTTTAACTCTATATTTAGGTGAATTCTTGGTGAGTAAAGACATCCTCCATCATAGCTTATGTACGACGCTTTTCAACAAAATGGGGTATTCAAGAGAAAAAACTGATACTTTCTTGAGGCGGCTCATTCCATTATGTTTCAATCTGTCCCAAAAAAGCTTATGAATGATGTCATTTTTACTTCCATTTATCTCATCAATAGAGTCCCTACAAAAATTCATAAATTTGGAACTTTATTAGTCTTCTTGATGTCATGTTTCACTACCAATTTTTTCTTCACCACCGTTGATCCCAAAAGTTTTTGGTGCACATCCTTTGTTCAAAACGCTGCACCTACTCGTAGTAAACTTGATCCCATATGAATAAAATTTCTTCCTCAGATATTCTACATCTCAAAAGGGTTGCCAGTTTCTTAATCCTATCACAAATAAATTCTATGTGAGTGTCGACGTCTTCTTTTTTGTAAGTGTCCTCTACTTTCCCATCACTGCCTCAAGTGAGGGGAAATTATATTTCTTGGACATTGTTCATTATCCGACTTCTGGGGATATTTCTCCAATCACTATATCCAAGGAGCCCTCTGTCCTTCTGGATCCTCCAACTGCTAGACAACCAGAACCTCCTTCCATCCTCCCTGTCTATAATCAGCACACTTGTCCCAATGTTCCTTCCTACTTTGGAGCCCACTACCTCTTTATAGGACCTGGAATCCACTCTAGGCAACATCCTCAGCACTAACCATGCTACGGATGAGGAGGTGAGTACTCCTAGTGAGATATGTGATTAAGCAAACTCACTTTATTCCATGAAAAATATCTCTCTTTCCACAGTGTATCGCCGACCTGAAAAGAATTTGCTACTACCCTGATGGATCTTCACCTCTCATCCATTATCGAGTTAGCATTAGCATACCCCTTCTGGAGAGCTGCAGTTATGGATGAGATGAATGCTATTCAGCAAAATCATACGTGGGATATTGTGGATCTTCTTTTGAGTAAGAAAGTTGTGGGGTGTCGCTGAATTTACTATCTCTTGCTGTAAATTTGAATTAACCCTTTCTTCAGCTTGAAGTTAAGAATGCTTTTTTAAATGAGGATCTCACAGAGTAGGTGTATATGTCCCTCCCTCTAGACTTTGACTTCAGTTCTTAACGAGGACAAGTGTGCCGACTGCGAAAGTCGCTCTACGGACTGAAGCAATCCCCAAGGGTCTGGTTCAACAAATTCACAAAGGTAGTAGTGGGTCATGGATTTTCTCAGGCCTAATCAGATCATACTCTATTTTTTTGGCATTTATCCAGTGGCCAAATTGCTATTCTTATAGTCTTTGTCGACGATATTGTACTCACAGGTGATGATCTACCAGCATTGAAGCCTCTAAAAGAAATTCTTGCTATTTAATTTTAAATGAAGGAGTAGGGGTTGCTCCGGTACTTCTTAGGCATAAAATCTGCTCGATCATTTTGGGGCATTTGCCTGTCTCAACGCATGTATATGTTTAATCCATTTATAGAGAATAACCTTCTTCTTTGCAAACCAGTGATGATCCCAATGAGAAGTTAGTTGATGTTCCCAATGCGGTTCCGGTGAACAAGACTCACTACCAACGCCTTTTTGGGAAAACTTATTTAACTCTCTCATGCTCTCCCGGACATTTGCCACTGTAGATATTGTGAGTCAATTCATGCAAGATCTTTTACTACATAAAAGACACACCTGACAAAGTTTTGTGTTTCTTGCGGAACACCTCTCGTTCTATTGTTGTTTATACGGAAGCGTATTGAGTCGGGTATGTCCATAATCAACGATCTACCTCGGGATATTTTGCTCATTCGTGTGTGGAAATTTTGTCACATGAAAAAGCAAAAACAGTCAGTTGTGGCTCGCAGCAGTGTTGAGCCGAGTTTTGCTCAATGTCGTCGGGTATCTGTGAAGCTTCCTGATTACGTGTAATGCTCTGTGAATTACGTATGCTAGTCTTAGCTTCTAGGAAACCTAACCGGACCGACCGGTTCGATCATGAACTGGTGGCTGGTTTGGTCTGGAATATCTAAAAGACAGTTTTTGTCTCTGAACTGTTGTGAACCGGTTGGATCGTTGGTTAAACCCGCAAATCAGAGAACCGGTTTAACTTTAAAAAAAATGTAAATATTTTAAATTTTTTTTTCTTGGTTATAGTTCCCATGCGCTGCTCTACAATTAAAATTAGGCAAAAGCATTATCCTGGATTCTAAAATGTGCCATATTCCAAAAAAAGGTTAAATATGCAATAGGCGTTTCATATATATATATATATATATATATATATATTAAAGAGAGAGAGAGAGAAAGAGGGAGAGTTATTATTATTATTTTTTGGGAAAAGAATGAGTTGCCTTATGGAGATGTAATTTTTTTGTGAATAAAGGCACTCAATAGCATTTATTTTATTTTATTTTATATTTATATTTATATTATTATATTATTATTGTATTATTTAGATTTTTTTGATTAATTATTATATTTATTAATTATTACGTCATCCGGTTTTATCCGGTCAAACCAATGAATGTTGAACTTCTCATTCTTTCGGTTTGATGACCATTCCGGTTTTCAAAATCTTGGTCAGTCTCTGCTTTTCTCCAGCTGTTTAGTGATAATAAAGTCGTCATTAGCATAGCCCCATAATCTAGTCCAGCATGATCGCATCAAACATATAGAGATTGACAGGCGCTTCATTAAGGAAAGACTTTATTTAGGGGAGATTTTTATTCCATTTCTCCCATCCAATGGTTAATTAGCAAATATCCTAACCAATATTCTTCTTCGGCCATTTTTTTACGATTTCAAATTTAAATTGAACATGATGGACATCTATGCTTCAACTGGAGGGAGAATAGTAAAATTATTAGCCTAATTATTCGACTAATTACTTCTGCAGTTATTATTTGCTTTTATTTGCTTTATTTTTCGTTTTCACTTTTATGTATTTCGTTCATTGTTGGTCTATTTCTGAATTTATGTTTTTCCTTTAATTTGGGTCTTGTAATATATATTTATAACCTTTTTCTATCAATAAAAGTATCCTGCTTTATTCTAAAAGTTAACAGTAAATACATGACAGAGGGAACAAATATGAGACTGAAGAAATAAATAATAAATTAAAAATCAAATCATTTTTGGATGGGTTGACCAATCCACGCCCATGAGATCCTCTGGGATATGAACTCCCCTTTTTATTCATTTGTGAAGAGCTTCCCTGCTTTAGAATGCCGCTTTGCTTGTCTGGGAGAGTATCCTCTCTTGGGAATATTGTCAGTCTTCTTCAACCCACTTTGTGCCTTCTTGTTCTTCATATCCATAATATAATTCTCCTTGTATTGGTTTTCTAGTTCAGTATTAAGAACAAATTTGTGTTCCTCGTCATCGCCTAGCAATATAGGCTCAAACAACTTCAATTTCTATAATTTTAGCACACAATTACTATGCATTTACATATCTCACACCCAAACTTTCGTATTTACACACATAGCACTCAAATTCTTAGTATCACATAAAACATAGCACTATTATCCCTTCTTAAAAGTGAATTACACACAGACAAATCTACAGCTAAATTTTCAATTTTTACATATATGCCACCTTATGCATGAAAATGTGCATTTCACTTTTTAAAAATTAAAATACATTTCACTTTTTAAAAATTAAAAAAAATTAAAATAATGCTTTTTATTTTTCATGTGATGTGAAAGATTTAGTCAGCATTAATCAAAAAAGTAAAATTGAGGTGTTATATATGCAATAAATACATAGGAATTGGGTAGTATATATATGTAATGCCCCTAATTTTTTATCAGTTCACAGTTATTCTGCTGCATGCCAAATTTCATTTGATACAATTGACAATCACCTACTCTGGTGTTTGTATTTAAGTTTTATCCCCCAAAAAAAGTTAACATGATTACCTTCCAATTTTCTTGGATTTATTTTGTCCTTTTAAGCTTTTGCTCATTTTTACATACATCCTACCTAATGAATGAAAAGGTGTATTTTATTTTTTTAGAAGTTAAAACGCTGCTATTTTTTGTGTGGTGTGTAAGATTTGGTTGGTATAAATGTAGAAAGCAAACTCTAGGTGTTAGATGTGTAAATACATATGAATTGGATGGTATGTATGTAAATGTCTTGCCCCGCTTCCCCCCTCATACATTATGTAAATACATGAAAGCTTAGGTGGTAGATATGTAAATACATAAGACTTGTGTGCTAGGCAAGTAAATTTCCCCTTTTTTTTTAGAACGAGCTATACTTCTATTACTGATATCCATTATAATTGGCAGCTGCGAGGCCTCACTGGTGAAGGTGGAAGAAAACCCTCTGGCAAATATAATGATAGTTCTGCAGAGGAAAATCTTTGGCTTTCCGATGTTAATGATTCGGATGATAGCACTCAATATCTTAATTACAGGAGATCCCCAAGGTCTAATAACACTTACAGAAACTCTAAAGGTAACTTCAGAAACCATTCTCATGACTCTGATAATTCACATTATGGAAATAATGGCAGATTTGTAAAGTTCAACTCTCATAAAAAATTACAAGATAACACCAGAAATGAATCTCGTGGCTCTGATAATAATGCCAGGCATGGAAATAATGGGAGATCTAAAAGCGACAATTTTTATGGAAATTCTCCCTTCAGAAGCCTGAAAACTTCTAGAAATAAGGATCAGGATAGATCAGGCAGTGCTAATGATAGTTTTGATTCGTTGTTTGATTTGTTTTAGGCAAATTTACATGCATACCATATAATTCTTTATGTATTTACATATCTAACGCCTACATTTTTTATATTTACATTCACATTTACATAACTTTGGTATCGGAAACCCATGCATGAAAACTGAAAAGTGATATTTTGATGCGATATTAAAGATTTGAGTGTCATGCATGTAAATATGAAAAAGTTTAGGTGTTAGATATGTAAATTCTTAAGAATTGTGCGATATGTATGTAAATGCCCGGTTTTTTTCCTTTTTTTCTTTAATTTCTGGTTTCTGGAATTGAAATATTGCACACGAATAGCTCAGATTTAGGAAGGTTTAGGATCACATTTTTGCACAATTGAATCGTGGGAGAATCGATATGTAATTTAAAATTGTCTTAATTCCAGGAATTATTTTCGGATGTTTGTATTATTTATGATCTGTGATAATCTGTTAAATTGTAAATTTAGCATTTCGTGTAATGTTCTGTGGGAGAATTGATATGTAATTTAAAATTGTCTTAATTCCAGGAAATATTTTCGGATGTTTGTATTATTTATGACTGATAATTTGTTAAATTGTAAATTTAGCATTTCGTGTAATGTTCTGCTACCTATATTCTTACATTATCTAACATTTTTTGATTTGGCAGTATTTTTGGGGCATTTACATGCATACCACACAATTCTTATATATTTGCATATCTAACAAGTAAACTCAGTATTTTTGGGGATTTACATGCATACCACACAATTCCTATATATTTGCATATCTAACAACTAAACTTTTATATTTACATACATAACAACAAATCTTTGACATCACAATGGCATATCTAACAACTAAACTTTTATATTTACATACATAACAACAAATCTTAAAAAATATCATTGACATCACAATGATACCACTGTCCATATCTTCTAAAAGGTGAAATGCAATTTTGCATGCTGCCAATGTGGTATACATGTAAATATCAAATTTTGGTGTCAGATATGTAAGTGAAATTCTCTTTATTTTTTGATCAATCAATATGGAACGAGTAGTCTTTGATTTTAAGAAGAATTGTTGCATGGTCCTAAAAAATTAATTTTATTTATTTATTTATTTTTTTCATTTATTTAAATAATATTTGTTCGTCAATTTGAGGATTTTAGGTTGATTCGCTTTTTATTGTTTATTTTTAAAGTAATTTTGATTATTTTGGATTATTTTAGAGCTCATTTCAATTTTCATTTCATTAAAATAGCAGGATTATTGCTATTTTGAACTGCATATGTTTGATTTTCTCAAGAATTATATCAATTATGAACTGAAACTCATCACCTGATGAGATTTCAAACATGTAAATTCTTCTCCTATTACAACAAGAGTTGCCATCTTTGATTCAAGCTTATTACATTGTGTTAACATCTTCTCCAATTAATTTAGCTTGAGATAATTACATAAACATGACTTGAAACAATGCTATTTCCAAAATTTGCATATATATGATTTTTTTTTTTTTGAACTACTGAATCTTGCCACTTAAAATAGTGCAAAAGGTGATTCTCACCGACTTAAATTCATCGTGCGCGTGCAAGCATACACGCAATAAGATTTACAAACAGAACACAACATAAATTTCAATTTTTACGTATATGTCACATTACCTATGCATGAAATGGTGTATTTCACTTTTTAAGAGAAATAAAATAGTGATATTTTGATTTGATAAGACAAATTGGGCCATTTGCGTGATATATATATATATAAAGGAATATTTAATTGCTAGATATGTAAAGACATAAGAATTAGGTGCCCTGTGTACCTTGTTCTTATGTATGAACCATAGAGTCAATGGAGCATAAAATGAGATGATATATATGCATCAATTTTTCAATTATTTTCAACTCAAACGGCCAAATATATATATATATAAAAGGTAGATGTATGGCTGATGTTATCTGAAATTGTTTATATGCAAATATATTGTCTATAGCCTTTTCAATTGATCATGTAAAATGGTCTTTTTTTTTTCTTTAGTGATGTTAATCAATTCCTTGGCTCAACTCTAATTCAGATCGGTTCGATCCCAATTTAGTGTAGAAACAATTTTTAGCTGGGGCCAAACTGATCAAATGATTGATTCGTAATTGAACCAATTAAATCGTTGATTGGATTACAACTTTATAACTAAAGACGGTCTCCAACCTTATGAACTAAACTTAAAAAGTGACCACATATATATGTATATGTCGCGTATCTCAACCTATTGGTTGGGATACATGATATAAGACTTCTTAGGTTAGGGGTTTGAATCCTCTTTGGCACAGTTAGCCTCAAAGATGCGGTATTCGAATTGTTAGACACATTAAGGATGATTGAGGGCTTGTATAATAGCCTCTTGTCATTTCTTAAAAAAAAAAAAAAAAGGAGAGAAAAAAAAAATTGTGGCATTGAATATAATTTAAACAAATATATTTGGATATCCACAATGATTAGATAGCCGTTTTATCGTTTAAACATACTCTCTTAGTTTAATATCATCCTAAAAAAATAATATTTAGTAATTATTATGATGAAGAATACTGTCTATTATTCTTGTATTTCTCTTCTATTTGAATCCCTTAATATTAAGATAATTTTTAAAAGTCTCAATTTGAATTTATTTATATTATTCCAATCTTATCTATGAGAGATAATATTAAATCGCACATGGATTATCATAAATAAGACAGCATTAAACGTCATTATAAGAAATATATATCAAATCAAGCAACTATTACAATGTTTTTATCCTAAGATAATATTTATTTAAATCACGAAAAATAAAAAAAAAATCAGAAGGAAAAGCAATTAAATGTCTACATCAACCTACCTCAATCTTATTTGAACTCTAGCAATTTGACCCGGAACCTTCTAGATGTTTCATTTTTTTTAACGATTATACAATTTAATTAATTATATTTTATCATTTGTAATTGTAATTATGCTCATCTTGTCTCTTTGTGCCTACCAGGGGTGTAAATGAGCCGGACACGGCCGAGATTATCCGAGCTAAAAGAGTGTTTTCGTGTTCGGCTCATTTGCTTAGCGAGCTGAATACTAGCTGTTCACAAACAAAGAGTAGTTTTGACAACCCTAATCACTTGGTCATAAGATGTCAAGGATTTGGGCAAGATTTAAAACATCATTTAAATCTAATTTAATAATTTTTATTCAATTTTCTTAATTAATACTTTTAATTGATTATAAATTTTTGTAGCCTTGTAGTCAATTAATTTTTTTTAATATATATATATATATATATATATATAATATTGATTAGCAATATTTCGAGCCAAAATAAGCAGAACACGAACAAACAAATATTTGTTCGTGTTCAGCTTGTTAATTTAGCGAATGAGCCGAACACGAGTTGTTTGCGAACAACAAGCCGTTTTAACAGCCCTAGTGCCTACGTATCTTGAATATATATATTTTCTAATCTTGTTAAAATGTTCTTATCACACCTGCCCGAATTCTTATCACACGTATCAAAATTATTGTTGGTTCTAAAATTATGTAGAGCATGGAGTTGCATTGATGAGCAAAGAGAATGGATTTAAGATAAAAATTGTTAATTGCTCGAAAATTTATTCGAATTTTGGCTCGTATCGAGACCTGATTAAAATAAATGAGCCGAGCTACGAGCCAAAATTTTGTATAGAATTGTTTTCAAGTCAATTTTGAGCCAACTCCAACTCAGCTTAAAATAGAATTGTTTTCGAGTCAATTTTGAGCCAACTCCAACTCAGCTTAAAATCGGATCTTTAAAAACACCAATTGTGATCCTGTCGAATTCTTGAGTGGGAATTATGGATTGTTCTAGAATGTAGGAAGCCTAATAACACCACCTATTTCAATCGAAATCTATTTCTACTTAGGTTATTTGCTATGAGAGAACTATTTATATTTGTTTCTTTTGATATTTTAGGGGGCTTTTGATATTATTATTATACTCTTCAAAGTGTTGTATCACTTTCTTTTGTAAGTGGTGTATTTATATCTTTTCGAAGAGTAGGTGGTGGATCCTCCATGTCATTCATACATCATAGTTTTTGAGTTTTGTTTGTTATTTTCAGTCGGAACAGTCATCAAATGTCATTTATCCTCCTTCAAATGTTGTTGGTCGCCCATATTATCACCGCATTACTACTTCACGACACCTCCCTACCAAACCAGCTTTGTAAACGCCTTTTAGGAACCGTATAATGATATCATCTGATATTAGAGCTTAAAAAACTTTAATATTTTAGGGATTTATCTTCCTTGCTTCTAAATAAAAAAAGCAATACAACCTTTGACCCACATAAAAAAATATTTTCATTATATCCAAACCATTTCTACCACAATTCATAACCTTAAGCCCAAATTTTCAAAAATATATCTTTTTAACTCTACCAATAATCTATCCTAACATGTACCACCAAAATTCTATACTTTGACCAACCTTTTATCTACAACCTTATACCCATCAAAATCTTAATTAAGAGAAAAGGATATGCCGTCATATAGGAGAAATTTACAAAGAGGTGTCCAAGACTTTATTTTGGAGGAGATATTATAAAAAAAATCTTTCAATTGCAACAAAGATTTATTCCATTTGACAAGAGATAATCTAGTGAGGTCACCCACAGTTAAAACGGTGACACACCAAATTTAGGGTAGGAAGTGAATCCTTATTGAACCACTATCTTGATGATTCAACATGAAATATCATAGAAAAAGCTAGAATTTTGAAGCAAAAAAAGATCTACTAAATTTTAAGTGTTGCATTAATTCAATAAGTTTATCTAATGGATCCAAACAATACAATGAATTGTTGAGTATAAAGACATCATCCAGAATAAGAGAATTACAACATCCGCTATTAAACTCAATAATAACGCCATTTTGTGGAGGGAGAAAGTAAATTGTATTCGGGGAAGAAAAGACTAAGATAATCATCAAATGTAAGATGGAAAAAAAGATTCAACATAAATATCTACCATCATATTATCGACAAGAAATACTCATCAAAATCCACTACCTGTGTCAAAGAGGTTACTCTGTGAGGCATAACTGAATTCAATCAACTCATGTTGAACAATAAGTTTATGGAACTAGGGGAGCACACCATGGCAGGGGGACTGACCTCTTTTACTAGTAATATGGTCCAGTTCC